TGCGCCCCCCGCCGGCCCCAGCCCCACCAGTGCCCTTCCAACACAGTGGGCTCTCAAAGCCCAGAAGGCACATTTAAAAAAATCTCATTTTCTTTTAAAGGCAGCTGAAAAACCCTCTAGAACAACGTCTCGCGCTTTTAATTCCTCTAAGCTTTCTCACCCAGAGGGCAGTACCTGCAGACCAGACATGGTCTGAAGTGTTTTTATGCATAAGCAATAAAGAATAGCACTGGCTTTCAGCAGACCAGGGGGACTCGCAGTCCGTGGGAGGGCTGGGGGAGAGCACACCCAAAGAGGTGCAGGAAGGGTGCATTTGGGGGGCAGGGGGCTTTCTCCTCCCTTTACTGCAGCATTACAGCATCACATTTGGTGTTGCAAATGGCACAGGATGGCAGAAGCAGCCCAAAATTAATGGAGGTAAACAGGAAATATTTTGAGTAATATTTCACATATACATTTTCGTCAAAAAAACACAGCATGACGTTAATTAGTATGACAACCCATTAGCAGCCTATATAGCTGATTAGGCAATAGGCACCGCTGTTCCCTGGCACTGGCATCCTTTTGCATAGTGCAGACCAAATTCCCCAGAGCAGGTGAACCAACAATCTCCCCTTTCTGACTTGGAGTCAGAACAACTGAGCCCAATCCGTGCAGCCACCCCACTGAGCGTGGCATTGAAAACCCACCCTTTGCTTAATAAACCTGAGCCACACATCACTCACACATTTTCCCTGGCTGACTTAATGTTTATCGAGGCAGAAACGAGGATATCTGCAATTAAATGTTGTCTCTTGGTCTTATTTTTTAGAGTGGGTGACTAAACAGAGAAAAGCAATTTATTGATGCATGGATTTCCAAACAGCAGCACGAGACTGCTGTCTGTCAGTGAGATGCAGGTACAGAAGGCTGAATACCCCGCAGATAGAGCAATGTAGGAAGCAGCAATGATGAAGAAGTTGCGACAAAGCGGAGAAGCAATTTTCCCTGAAAACACCAGGAACTGGTGCCTGCCTGGCAGAGAGAGGGTCTTCAGAGGGGTCTGATGGGGCCAGAGCTGTTCGGGAGAGAAGGGGCAGAAACTGCACAGACAAATTCAAATTCCTGAGCCTGTGGTGGTTGTGTGCAGCTCTGACAGCAAGCCATAAAATATAAAGAATGAGGAGCATCACCCTGGCTAGGGTCTGACCTGATGGTGTTACAGTAACACCACAAGTATATTTCTCTTTTAGTAAATATTAGCTATGCATTAAAACGAAAACAATGTGGTAGGTCAGCAAGGTGCTGGTCAATGGCAGTTTGCCTTAGCCTACAGACGCTGAGTTTTCATCAAGGATAAAACCCAAATTATTACTGAATCAGGGACCTCCCCACAATAAGCGCTGAGATCTTAGAATGACAGAATCAGAACGGTTTGGTTGGAAGGAACCTGAAAGCC